ATTTTGTGTTGTATTATTATTATTCCATGCTTATTCAAGCTTCAACAGATATGTAATGAGATAGATCCTGATCTGGAATCTCGTATACAGTCTCTTTTTTAAATACGTGCTGTGGCTTCCCTCTGTCTTTTCTATAGATATTTTCATGACATCTGTTTTGGCTAGTTTTTATCCTTGGGACCCTGACTACCTTAATTTATGCGTGCTACTAGGTTGCTATCTCGGTCCCACCCGTTCTCTGTCAAGACGGTTAAACATAATCGCCTCTTCTATTCCAACAGCTTCTTATATCGCACTTCCCGACAGTAAAATTCCCTTCCTCTTACTTGCTTTCCTGATAGCTATAATCTTCAAATATTCGAATGTAATGTCAATCGACATCTGATCTTGATCCCTGTCCTTGCTTTTATCCTTTCCCAAAACACCACTCTTTACTCTTGCTCTCACTCTCTGTAACCCCTTGCGTGTTAGTGGAACCCTCGCCTTGTTTTGGGGTGAAACGTTTAAAAAAAAATTTTGCTGACGGTGGACCTTCATAATGTCGTCAACTCCAAGCATAATTCACCAGTCAAATATTCATCGTTGAATCTCAAAGAAAGTTCTGACAGTATTTCGGAAAGCGATCCTGTGTGCTATTATAAACTTCTAAGAGACAAGCAATGCCGAACTGTGTTTGAAAAGAGATAGTGAACTTGTGTCTGTTCTCTCATGTTGGTAACCATCTCAGGGATGTAAGCATTGAAATATTAGATAATATTTTGAGCTCTTGTATATCAGTTCTGTAATAAATATGTTTGGTACTTTATGTCATTTTTATAATCCAATGTATTTGCATTTAAAACGTCTTCCATCATTATTTGTCACTCGGTATATACCTTATGGTGATCTGAAAACTCAAGCACCGTGCTCCGTTTAAGGTCTTTTCAAGGTAGGAAGGACCTTTGTTTTTTATTGGATGTTATCCTTCTGAAAAAAAAATCTCCAATTCAAATCTTCATCAAACACGTCTTCATCAGACACGTTCGGTTACTGATCGATTTGTCTCTGAAATGATAATATATATATATATATATATATATATATATATATATATATATATATATATATTATCAAGCATTTAAGTTATTCACGTATTTTGTGATATGGAACACATTTTGATGTATAGTAAATTATCTAATATTAACTATCTTATAATTCACTGCCGACCTTCAGCTTGTAACCCGGAAGTTATATTAAAGAAATGTCGGTATTTTATTCACAATTCATTCTTTAACTACTGAAACGAATCTCAAATCCTGTGACCCATCAGAGTCGTAGGACCACCCCATGTACTGCAGCCACTGTAGAAGTGGTGCTTCTTGGGAAAGATAGCCTATCAGAGAGTGAATTCAGGATAATCAGGGCCGTAAGGTCACCGCAGAAGAAATGGTGTTTCTTGGGCAAGATAACTTGACGGAAAGTGAATTCAGAGTTACCTTTTTCTAGATCACCAAAGGCTACAGAACCCAGTTATATGTGGAGGAGGAGAAGAGGATTCATACCTTTCCCAATGATATTAGCGCGTAAGTGAATGTAACGGATTTGACTGGTATTCGAACTCGGCCCTCCGATTCCCCAATCCGAACCTCTATTCATTACTCATCCGCTCTCTGCTATGTTTTAAAACGAGGAAGATGGACTGCACGTCAACTGTATGAAGGTAGGAATATGATGGTTAGAAAAGGAAAAAAGCACGTGACGTGAACTACGAACTGGAGTTGTCAACGTCAAACAAGTACAGAGGTTTCAATATTTGAGGCGTGTTTAAACGGAAGATGAATAAAGTGAAACTAAAATGCGAACATGCATTGGATTAGTCAAATATGGCTTCCAAAAGCTAAACAAAATACTAAGAAACATAAAACGTCGCTAGAAACAGTTTTAAAACGCTATATCATATCAGTCCTCTTGGAAGACAGTGCATGCTGGATAATCTCTTCACAAATGATGAGAAAACAGGAGGCAACAGAAATGTGACCCTACAGAAGGATACTGAGAATTTCATGGAAGTTTTTTTTTTTTTTAGGAAGGACTGCTTGGAGAACTCGCAGGGCAAAAGAGGGATCATCTAACTGATGAGGTTTGGTAGAATGTGGGGCAGGAGACTTCACCAAGAGAAAAATGCTGCTACGGGCCATAATGCAGAGGAATCTGCGGATAGCCATTATATTCAACTCTCTAAAGGAAGTCAGAGATGTCAAAGAAGAAGATACTGTTCATCATTTGTTTGTGTTTGAGATTACGGCCATATCACGTTGAAACACCGGTTCACATATGATCAGCGAATTTTAGCAATGTCGAACACGGCCAATAGCTAGATGGCTGTACAACTAGGAATACCAGGTGCTGTAAGTTTGGATGTGTGGATGGCTTGCAATTATTAATCGGAGAACTGAGTTCCAATTCCCGTTGGGTTCATTATGTTCATTTACCCATAAATAACCTTGAGAATGATATGGATCCACCACTATACCGCCAGCTGTTATTAAGACTTGTTTCACTAAATCATTTTTATCCCTCAAAGATATTCTTACAATCTAAAAATATTTTCTGGCTTTAAATAACCCGCAGAGGGTTGATAAGCCGTAGAAACTAAATCAATCAAATACTTGAGTTTGTTCGAAATTCTTTATTGTTACTATTTGAAAGTGTTTTCTTTGTGTATTATTTTTTAAACACTTTTTCCATTTCCATTTGAAATTTATATTTTTTGTTTGTGGAAGTCGAGTGGAACGCATTCTGGACGCGTGACCTGACCAGTGGAGGCGATATTGCAGGATGGTAACCTATGTTTAATTTGTATACATGTATTTAATGTATATCCGTATGCTAGTCTTTTGCTCGAGTCATCTGCATGTACTTGCGTCATTTAATGTAGACAGAGGAAGATACACACACTCACATGCACATGAAAATTGACTGAGTTTGAAATCAGACACTGTAGTTAAATTGACTGAAATAAGAAATGATGAAGAGTTCGCTACAACCTTCAGTTAATCTGCGGACAAACAGAGGCAAATAGCTTGATGACGCACTGCGAAATGTATCTAAAGAATTCGAGAACTTTTCGGGAGGCATTTCGTTAATTGTTCCAGCCACGGTCTTAAAAATGGAAAAGAAACTTAGAGTCATCATTTTACCGGTCGTAAAATATGTCGGATTTCTTCTGCTGGATGATCGTGTGATATATCTACATTTAACACATGATATTAACCTCCACAGTCAAAAACATCCCACTGAGCAAAATAAATCTGTCTAAATTACTGTAATTAATTATTTTAACTATTTACAAAATTTACGTTGTTCGGACTGTTGTCCTCATCTTTCTTGTCATATTTCCGACGTTTCGACCGTTGTACGCTCCTGCCTTCTTCAGGACCTGTCTATTTTTCTGAAATGAGGTAGTGTCACCATTTACACTATTTAATTTGTTCGGACTGGTGTCGTCATCTTTATTATCCACAAGGATACATGGCCCAATGGATAAAAGCGTTGGTTGAAGTAATCCAGCGATTTGACCCAAAGAGTTGTGAGTTCAACAACTGGCCACAGAAGAGGTGAACAAAACTTGGAGCGTTGAGTTACTGAAAGGAATTAACTCAAAACTGAGATATCCAGAAAAGGCATAGCACGTGGAACTAGAACAATCTACCACGTGGACTAAATAAAGTGTCCGGTTCGAAATTCCAGTATATATTACCTGAGAATACAACGATGCGTACAACGGTTGAAGCATCGTGTATATAACAATAATGATGATTCCGAACAATGTAGATAGTTTAAATGAGTAAATTACTTTTCATCCTTCCAAGTGTTCGAAATTAAGAATAAAGAAATATATTCCTATTCGATTTGAAACTACATGCTATATCATTGGAGTTTTGGGTTAGCATTTTAATCAGTTCCATCACTGAAATGTAAGGCTGCAGACGAGATCCTGTTTGTTCGACGGCTATTGATTTTTCATAATAAAAGACTAACCTAATAAACTTCTAACCATCCAACCATCCCTAGTTGAATGGAAACAAATGTCTCCAAAAGCAAGAACAAAAGAATTAATACTAGTGCGACTAGACATAGGACACACATAACTCAGCCGTCCATATTGTCTGGAGAATGAAGATCATTCAAATTGTACAACATGCCAAGCTACACTCACGGTGAAACACATTTTAACTGAATGCACATACAGACATAAATATTACAAGAAGGACATCATGTCATGGTGTAATGGTTAACATACTTGTCTCGCTAGAACAATTACGACTGAGTAATGAGTTCAATCCTCACTGGGTGCCCAATACTTTCGGCCTTGTGCCACATCTAAGCTACGCCCAGAAAATGACCATAAATACTTCAAGGAGAACATAAGAAAACTATTTGAAAATACAGAAAGCGTCAACATGATGCCCTACCTTAAATAAATAGGTCTATACCAAAACACCTACAATAGTCAATTTACAAACTATATATCTATAAAACATACGCCTAACCTGAAAGTATAAAATGACTTACAAAATAACTGTAGTTGAATGCATAAAATTTCGTTCAAAATATATGTTGTTGAAGGTTCAAAATGACGTAGAAGATATCTAGATTTCGGCATTAAATAACCCATAGAAGTGTTGATATGCCGCTAAACAAAAACCACCAACCCAAATCAAAAGACAAACCAAAAATAAATATTAAAAAAACTAAATTGAAAAAAAAGCATTAAAAATATATCAAGCGGTATTTTTTTTCAAGAGATTTTGTTTTTACATCATGTATAAGCTGTTACATGTTTTGTAAAAGCTTACGAACCAGCTGATAAAACAACTTAGTCAATTTTATGGCTTTGTCAACGTAGACGACAAACACACAGACACAAATGTAAAGACACGGTTTATTAAATATGACAGAATTACCCCCTCAAAATGTCAGCCGGGTTGCTTTTCTCCTTGATGTTCTGTTTTATTCAGTTTCTTCTCATATTGATATGCATCCTTCTTCTGATTCGTTTTCATCGTCTGAATCTCTCTCTCTCTCTCTCTCTCTCTCTCTCTCTCTCTCTCTCTTTCTACTTTGTTTTTAGAGTTGCTTATCCCCCTACTGTATTTATTTAACCAATACGCAGACGAGATGTCGCAAAAGAATTTACTATTGCCAGACACAATCTGCTAATGCTAGACCGAAGCATCAAAAAACAGTGGTATTTTGTTAGAAACAAAAAAAGAGAACTGAAACGCTATGTAATATCAATTCTTCTATATCAATCCCACTAAAATTAAACGAAGAAAAATTTCCTTACAAACTTGAGGCAACAAAGATGTGTTTCTAGAAAAGGACGCTGAAGATAGTATCAATGGAAAACGCCAAAATCTAGCAAATACGGAAATAAAACTTGTTAGTGTTATATAGAAGATAGAAACTTTGACATAGAAATCATGTTTGATAACCAAAAACAAGTAGCAAAAACTAAACAATGTATAAAACCCAGGAAAATTTCTTAAGAAACGAAGTAGTGCTGAACGGCTCTCTAATTCTAAGCCAAGAAAATATATACACACTTCAGTAAAAGAAAAACTTTTATAGATATTGTAATACTAAATTTATTTAGACATCACAAGATGAATACAATTTATATTTGGACTCTACAATCAAAAGAGATTCTTAAAATGGTGGTCTTTAACTTCCAGAATTGTATTAGTAAGATCAACTACCGCAACATTGACCAAATTATCCAGTGGAATTGCTGCACATGCATTTTCAATTTCTTGCGTACGGATTACCAATGTAATCGGTTCTCTGTGATAAGCAACAACCATGTGTGCAATATAATCTGTCGAGAAAATATCGTAATAGCGAACGCAGTTATTTACATAATTTACATTGTTCAGACTGTTGTCCTCATCTTAATTTTTTATAAGCATCTCACTCCAAGCAAGGCGTGAGTGCCACTAGTACAAGTGTTACAGCGAGTTAAAGTAAGAGAAAAGACTGGGTATGGGGGGGATTGAGGAAAGCATATAAAGAACAACGGAGGGGGTTAAAAAGAAGAAAGGTCATCAAGGTGTCAAAAACATGTCGATTGCCATTACATTTAAACTTTTGAACTTTATAGTTATCAGTGAAACAAGTAAAAGGAAGGAGGTTACATTGTCGGCAAGTGCGAGAGAAGAAGCTGTTGGAGTAGAAGAGGCGGTTACATTTAACCGTTTGGACAGTAAAAGGGTGGGACCGAGATGCCAATCTAGTAATACGCTTAAATTCCTTCAGGAATCCGGAGCACCAGTGAAAATAGTTCATCGGAGTAGTTTCCAGGACAATATTTGTAGAAAAGCCAGTGGGAAGCCACATCACGTCTCTGAGAAAGTGACTGGGGTCGCGATGCCAAGTCAGATCCGATCACATTGCACATCCGTCTTTTGAATTTGTTAAGAACCTCGTGATGAACAACGGGGGCACCAGACCATATATGGCAACAGAATTCAATGCATGAACGATTTGGTAGATTTGTAGATCTGAAGGATGCACTCTGGCGCGGCACGGAGAACCAACATTCCTTGCAGTAGATGCAGCTATTGATTCAATATAGTTGTTCTACATGAGGACAGTGGAAAAGGTTAAACCAAGAAGGCACAGTAAGACGCTCTTGCAAAGTTGATCATCAACCAATGCTGATAGGAGGCAAAGAGATTTCTCTATAGTGGGTAAACGAAAGCAATTTCATTTTGGAGACATTAAAATTCACAAGCCATTTTCATGTCCCAGTCAACCATAGATTGGAGGTCCTTTTTAGAGACTAGCATAGTTAATGCCAGATTTACTATTGAGATCGGAGTAAAATGTATTGTCGTCCGTGTAGATGCCTACTTGAGAACTGATGACATCAGGAAGCTCATTGATAAAGAGCAGAAAGTGTGTAGGACCAACGTTCGTATGGAAAGAAATGGAAGAGATCCCGTTCAGGACCACCTTCATTTCACACTTTGACAGGAATGATTGGATTAAATCAAACACGTCGTTTCGGCCGATGTACGCTCCGACCATATTCAATGGAATTTCGAATTGAACCCTTTATTTAGTCCTCCGGGGTAGATGGTTCTAGTTCCGGATGTCTCAGTTACCTCCCTTTAACTCCTAAATGACACATGGCCCAGTGGATAAAAGCGTTGGTTGGATCTAGTGATTTGACCCAAGCAGTTGTGAGTTCAATACCTGGCTACTACAGTGAGGAAAAAAATATGGAGAGTTGAGTTAAAGGGAGATAACTGATACATCCGGAAGAGGTATGGAACGTGGAACTAAAGAAACCGCGGTGGACGAAATAAAGCATTTAGTTTCAAATTACTGAAGAAGACCAGAGCGTACAAAGGCCGAAACATCGTGAATATTGCAATACAGATGAGGAAATCTCTCCGGACAATATAAATAGTGTAAATAGTTAGAATAACTCATCTCAGAAGTATAGACAGATCCTGAAGAAGGCCGGTGCGTACAATAGCCGAAACATTATGAATATTGCAATAAAGATGAGGAAAACTGTCCGGACAATATAAATTGTGTAAATAGTGACAATACCTCATCTCAGAAATAAGACAGATAATAAACAGCGTTATCTCAACTTGATGAAACTGTATATATATATATATATATATATATATATATATATATATATATATATATATTTCATCATATATATATATATATATATATCATAGTTTCATCAATATATAGATAATAGTTTCATCAAGTTTATTCTGTCTCTACTTCTGATATATATATATATATATATATATATATATATATATATATATATATATATACTCTATATATATATATATATATATATATATATATATATATATATATACAGTCTCTATGTTAGGAAATGGTGAATAGTTTCTTCATAGATAAGAGGAAACCTCTATCTTCTTCAATTGCTTTAAAGTTCTTTCATTAAAAAAAACATTTTGAATTAATGTCGTTACTGATCTAACAGAAGTAATCTGTATTTCTTCAATCGAAGTTAACCGAGGACATGAAGGGATGAAACAGGAAAACATGAAAACCCACTTCAGACCACAATTATTTTGGAGTTTTCGAAATTCGATTTGTCAGTGTGCTGCCAGGGATGTAAAAGTGGATAGATTTACAAAGCAATTGCTAAATTTGAAGAAATGTGGTCGAAAGTTCAACGTAAAATAGGAAAGAAACCAGTAAAAAACGCCATTTTTCGCTATTTACGCAGGTTTTCATTATATGGGTGGACTCAGTTATCAAGTTAAATGACTGTTAAACAATCGACTTATTGTTAGCTACAGTTGAGTGAAGTTTGTATTAGATTTCTTGAAAATTAAGGGAGATTGAGTTTAAAATTTGTGTTGAAATCGATTTTTCGTTTTTCACAGTTTTTCGCTAAATGCAGTGGCGTAGAAATATAAAATGAGGTATTGTTGAGCTCGTCATGATGTGAGTAATCTACGTACCGAGTTTGAACGAAATCGGAGGAAAAAAGTTGAATTTATCGATTTTTAATTGACTTCATCGATTATTGATTTTTTAAACGCTAGGACAATATCTCTTACATTGTACAGAATAGGTACAAAGTTTGATCAAAATCGGTTCGACGGATCTCGATTGAAACGGCATCACACAGACAGACAGACGCACAAACACGCAGACATTCTCTGTTTTATATAGAGAGATTACTGTTTTTACTGCTTATATTTTCTTAGTAATTTAATATTTCTAGCTGAATATTCCTGCCTTTTCTTTTATATCATTTTCCCAACAGCTTCTATTTGTCTCTCTCCTAATTTATTTTCTGTTTACAAACCCAATCTTTGTGTAAATTTCACCTTTATGGAAGGATCTGAAATATTTTAGGTGGAATTGAGATCAGTAATAATTCGGAACAAATTAGAAAGATCAGATGGTATTTTAAAAGTTCTGCTATGAGCCTTAGATGTTTTCGGTATTGACAAGATTAAAGAAATGATAAATGAAATATACAACATACCGAAAGACGCGAGTAGATATATTTTGATAGTAATGCATAAGAAGCCAGGTGAAATTAAATACGAGCTCCATCCGACTGTCAGTCTAAAAAGCCACAAAAAAAATTATGATCAAAATTCTCATGAATTCAGTCGGAAATCAATCAAAAACAGTGCGGTTTCGTTAAAAAAATACTGGAAAAGGGAATTATTTTGTCTCAGAATGATAGCTGTGAGTAAAAGGGCGCATATATCTTCTAGATCAGGCAAAAATATTTCATAAAGAACTACAGAAACTAAAACTATTTGAACTGCTAGGTGAGCTTGATTAATTTGGGAAAGATATTAAAATAATCCAGAACTTATATTGAACGCAAACCACCTGCATACGGATGACAAATGAATAAGAATTCAATAAATACATAAAAATAGAAGGGCGATTAAGACAAGTCATCTCAAATGAACCTGAGATAATCAGACATTCTAGAAGGGTTCTATTATTGGCGCACACAATGTTATCTACATCAAATTTTACAGATGGTACAGTGTTTTTCAGAGACGCAGAAAGTAAACTGCAAGAACTCCTACAAAAGTTAGTAATCGAAAGTAAGAAGAAAGAGCTAAGCATCAATTTAAAAGAAAACAATGTATAGTTGACAGCAAAAGTGGAATCCCTAGATGCTAACTATGAATTTCACATGAGAAAATCAAGGAATTAGGAAAGTCGACACGCCTGGAAAGATTTTGTTTTTAACAAAGTACGTAAAATGTGACACCGACATCTGAATCCGCATTGGAATAGAGGAAGATCCCTTCAAAAATCTAAGCAAAGTATTAAGAAAATTTCGTTAGTAACAAAGAAAATTGTGTCTGAACTGACATGTTATATCGGTTCCCTTATATAGCAGCGGATGCTGGACAATCACTTCAAGGATGATAAAATATATAGAACAAATATGAGGCAACAGAAATGTTGTTCTATAGAAGCATATAGAAAATACGATAGATGTTAGTAAGGAGGAAGTTTTTAGGAAAAAGGACGATTATGCTTAAAATTAGAAAGGGGATATCGAAATGAGGATACAGTATCTGAAGAATCTGATATTTGCATAACATACTGAAGGCAAAAGGAAAAAAGCTGGTAACCAAAAAATGCTTTTGTAAATGGATTGCAGAACAAGGTGGGATTATAAAATTTAAAAATAAAAAAACAGACAAAAATCTTCAAAGGTTAGAAATTTCTGGAGAGTCATGATTGTCTACGTCCTGAAGGGACATGACAGAAAGAAGAATCAAAAAATATGACTTCTTTCTTATCCAGTAAGTTCTACCATTATTACTTTTATGCAAAGATTCCAGTATTTTCAAATTTCCTTTCTTCAGATGAATACACGACATCAGTTTTCATTCATCAAAAGATTCTCTTTGTCTTTTTAGGAATGAAGCCACTTTTCAGCCAATATAAAAAGACATCTCTACTTTGATTCTATGAATTCGTTGAGGTATTGTTATTGAAAATCTGGTGACGAGACAAATAGTGTTATATAGTGCTAAAAAATTGTACATTCTGATTTCTCTCTCTCTCTCTCTCTCTCACTCTCTCTCTCTCACTCTCTCTCTCTCACTCTCTCTCTCACTCTCTCTCTCTCTCTCTGTCTTCACTCTGAAGGGCCTTCGTAGTCATCGTTCTCCACAGCATCCTCTTTTCGTTACTTTCAGCAATACTTCCTTCTTTATCGTTTCTCATTTTATTTCCCCTACAACCTCTTTCCCGCTAACGAAATGTCAAATTCACTTTCATTGACAACTATTATAATGAGCTATGTTCATAAGTTCAACAGATTTTTACATTAGTAAGAAGGAAGCTTCTCTCTATGAAACGCTAATTTATACAACACACTCCCGAGAGGATGCTTACTCAATCACTTGAATCTTAAAGCATTTTAGTCTAGGGTTAACTGTTATCGTTCCTACACGTTCTCAACCTCATTCAGTAACATTCGACTAGAAGTGCTTTAGTCCTTTTATTAGATTAATAATTGGTAAAAAAATATAAACTTGTTCTTCCCTCTATTTGCTTAAAGTACTTTTCTCTGCTTCTTTTATATTTAATATGACCTATTATTTTAAATTCTTCATTTCTTTTTCTTAACGACGTGTACCAAAAATTCCAGCTATCATATTTTGACCAATCCCAAAGCTCCATATCTCTTCTTTCTGTCTAGACAATATGACGCATGTAGAACTATTCACTATACCAGACTCACGATAGCCTGCTGCATCGTATTTGTAATCTGACGACCTTTCCAGCCATAAAGCAAACTCACTGGTGACATATTTACCCAGAAATTTTTTTTTCTTCCAGCGAGCCAACTACAATATTGCACAGTGAATCTTCAGGTTCCAGCAATTTTCAGATATGGATTATCTTTAAATCCAAATAAGCACGCATATGAATCACAATAGATTAAGTTTAGAATGTGATATTAAAAACTTGGCTCTATCGGGCCAAGAATCTTTGAGTTTTTTTTTTAATATTTGTAATGTTTTAAAATCATTTCACCCAAAGTAAGTCGGGAATGCCACTAATACGTAGTGGATTCTAAGGAGAGAAATTGAACGAGAAGACTGAGAATGGGGAGGATTGAGGAAAAGATAAAAGATGGACGTCATTCAAGAAAACAGAAGATGGCGATCAGAGTTGCATTTATATTTTTCATGTTGCTTGATTTTGTTTCGCGGCATATCAACACTATGGATTATTTAATACTTTTATAATGTTTTGTTTTTGTTTGAGTTTACTATTTGCCCATAGCTGGGACCCTGGATCAGGATGAGAACAACAAAATTAAGAATACCTTTTTGAAGATTTTAGTTATCAGGGACGCAAGTAAACGGAAGGGAGTTCCACATCTGGGAAGCGCGAGAATATAATCAGCTGGAGAAGAGGGGGTTGCATTTATTTATTTCAACGGTAAAAAGGTGGGGCGTAGATGACAATCAAGTAGAAGACTTAAATTCATGTAATTGGGGCCCCAGGAAAAAAAAAGAACAGTTGCCATGAAAACATTCATAAAAAAGGCAAATGGAAACCACGTCGAGATGCCTGGTTACGATATATTACATTATTGATACTTCTTTGGATTTTGTCAAGACCGGATATGGCAACAGCATTCAATGCACGTACGAATGCTAGAGTTGAAACTGTGTAAGATAGATTTTGACAAGAAAAAAGTCCTGGGAAGTTAAAGTGACTCAACTTTCCTTGCAGTAGATGCTGCTATTGATTTGGTGTAATCGCTCCAGTTAAAGTCAATGGAAAACATGAAACCAAGAAGGCTCTGTGTGTTGCTCTCCTGGAATCTTACGCCAGCCACACTGAAGACAGGCAGAAAAGGTTTCCTATGATGATTAAATGAAAGCAGTTTTTGTTTTGTGGACGTTAACATTCACAAGTCATTTCCTGCCCCAGTTAACCACTGATTGGAGGATTCACGGAATTTGTTACAGTTTTTTTGTTTATATATATATATATGACTAGTGAGCGAGTCAAAATGACTTAATTCCCTTTATAGTCTACCAATAGAAGGTTGACCAATCAGAAGCCGCAGAACACTGTATCCGTCGTGTATAAAGGCGGCCATCTTTGTTTACCCTACTGGAATGACCAGAGCCAACTTGTCAGGCGAACATGACAGACGGAAGAACTACGCTCTGCTACTTTGCTGCGATATCCACTGCGAACCTGAACTACGCTTTCCTACTGTCTCCGAAATATTCACTGCCAACCTCTGGATTCTATACTCGAAGACGACCGTCATGAAAATGTCTAACAGAATTAATTTAACATTATTCCTTATTTCGGAAAAAATAAAGAGGAGGACGCCGAGAAAGTAAGATAGGCAGATAAGCAAAGAGGACAGATTAAGAAACAAAATTGAAGGTGTTGCATGAAAGAGAAGTAATATTACAAATACTCGTAAACAGTCAAATGAAAAGCGGTAAACAGTCAGAAAGAGGAAATAAAAAAAAGTTAAAAACAAGAAAAATAAAAGTCAAAATGAATGTTTGCCCTCTCAATGAATCTCCATAACTTGAGCGTCTATTTGGCCTCAATTGGAATAAAACACATACAGGTCGTTGTAAAAACGATGAGAAAATGGTCGATTCATTTTATCGCTCTAGGAAGTATCTGGCTCGATCGATGTTGCATTAGCTTGACATCCTTGCAACGTACACAATAGCGTATCCTTCTTATTCCATTGATAAGGCGAAAGCTCCATTCAGACAGCAGCTTTTATCGAAGAGTTATTGCTTTTTGGAACAGACTCTTGTTAAGATGCTTCCAAGACCAATATAATCTTAAAATCGAGATCAACTGTTTCTTTTCCTACATTAACCTACAATCTTTACGTAAAAAATTTGCAAACCCCTAACTTAATTGGCTCTTGGGCCTTTTACTGGATGAAAGACGTTCTACAAAAACACAGTGGGATTCCCTACTCGCTATCTATATGTGTTTATACAGCATTATGATACGAAGAGTCAGTACGAAAGAAAATCAGCTGTTACTTTGCATATTTTCAAGGTAGATCTGAAGCAAGAATTACTTTGTATAAAATGGAAAGCAAATAATTTATATTAACTCTTTACAAGCATAAGTTCAGATGTTTAAATTTAGGGAAGGCATTGTTACTTCCACGAATTTCCCCATTGTTACACATGGAATAAGAAAGAAAGTTGAAAGCAAATTCACCATTATTGATTATTTTTTTACACAATGATGTTCATTCTGTACAAATCCCAAGAGCCACTCGAAGTAGAGGGTTAAGGTGTAAGAAGCACGGTTTCTGCGGATATGTGGGAATATGACAATAAAGATGACGGCAATACTCCGAACAATCTGAATAGTTACAATACCTAATCTCAGAAATATAGACAGACATTGCATTTTACTATAGTCTGTTTTTTTCTTTCTCTCAGGCATGTACTGTAGTGTTCTGATTATACAGCCAATAAAGAGTTGAACGAATTTGAAAGAAAATTCTAAGATTTCCCAAACAGTTTACAAAAGATCACACTGACAACTAATCAAGTATTTGATAATTCAATCTCTTCGTTTTTGATTCGACTTAATTTTGTTAAATCCCACTGTTTTATGTCCTTTTCTTTTTGTTTTTATTTGTCTACTCCTGATAATTTATTTCTGTTTAACAGTTTTAAGTTTCGTATTTCTTCAAGCAATCCTAGCGAAAGTAGTTAAAGCAAGCGAGAAGATAAGACGACGAACAATTGTAAAATGGCAGAATATGTGTTTGTCATAGAAAGAGCAGCCTATGATGCAAACTAGCAATTGAAGACACTAAAATCGAGAGAACACAAACATCTACCTATTGATGAAGTGTTTTCAGTGTTCAAAAAATGGATACCTGTACCTACTGAAGAGGTTTTTTGATTTATCATCCAATTACCCACGATACTCACACACGCATATATATGTATATATACATATACACACATATATATATATATATATATGTGTATAGATGAATATATATATATATATATATATATATATATATATATATATATATATATATATATATATATATAAGCAAATGTAAATGGATATAGATTCGACAGAATGAAGAAAAATTTGGAAAAAAACAAACAAAAATCCTTAAATGCAATTATGTTGTTTAAAATGAATGAAATGTCGACGTCTGACTTTTCGGTTTAATAAACCTTTTTCAAGACAATATTCATTAAAATACAATTCAGGAATAGGTTTTGAAAGCGTCGCCCATGTGACGACAACGTGACCATGCTAAACGGAAAGCTGATCATTTTAAAAATTTTCAGTTATCTGTTTTGGATAAGACTTGTTGTTTATGTCCATCGTCTTTGTCAAATTGAACTGAATTGTATTTTAATGAATATTGTCTTGAAAAAGGTTTATTAAACCGAAACGTCAGACGTCGACATTTCATTCATTTTAAACAACATAACTGCATTTAAGGATTTTTGTTTGTTTTTTTTTTCCAAATTTTTCTTCATATATATATATATATATATATATATATATAGATAGATAGATAGATAGATAGATAGATAGATGTATATATATGCGTGAGTGTGCGTGGGTGTGCGGTTTTCTGCGTGTTTATCTCTGTGCTCTCTCACTCTCTGTCTCACACATAGGCACTAGAGAGACAGACATAGAATATATATATAAAAACATTGAAAAAATTAGCTGGATAAGAGTTTTTACTTTTTTTATTTATATACAGTTATCCGCAATGCATGTGTGCGTCTGTATGTGGGTGTTTAATCACACGCACATACCAGATAGACATATACATACAATATACATAGATATGGAGGCGCTAAGATAGATAGATACGATCAGACTGAGATAGATACCAACAAAAAAAATGAGATAAATGCAAACGGACTGAGATAGATAGATAGATAGATAGATAGATAGATAGATAGACAGACTGTCGCATGATATTGACGTGAATATGTCGCTAAGCTGTCTGGCAAAAGAACAAATAGATTCTTGCCTTTGCCAACTGTTAAGTGAACGTAAGTGAGTTTTCCTCCTGCAATACAAGAAAATAATCACATTTGCGTGAGTCTCTAATGTGTGCGTTATTTTATAAAGCGCGCAGAAACGGTGTTTTATTAGTAATGCACTGTACGCGAAATAATAACCAGGTAATGACAGAAGAAATTCATAGGAGACACTTTCAGCTCACCTCTTGACTCTTATCGTATTAGATGCACTGGCTCTGCTGATTTTCGTTTGTTGGTTCAAACCCACGTTGCTTAAATCAGACTACAGCCACTCGGACAGAAGCAGTAAAGAATGCGAGAAGAAAGAAATAAACATGAATTGTAAAATGACGAAATGTTTAGTTGTTAGCAAAAAGGACATCACAAAACGAAAAAACAAATTGGTGACACCAAAATTAGCCAATGAAAAATGTTTAAATATCTAGGAAGTTTTTTTTTAACAGAGACTGGAAAATACGACACCGAAATTCGAAGGTGCATAGGAACAGCAAAAGATGCCTTCCAAAATGTAAACAAAGTATTTAGAAACAGAAACGATTTGTTGTGAGCAAATAAGATATTAACCTGTTTTATAACGTCAATCGTCTTATATGGTGGAAATGTGCTTAGAGTTAAAGTGGAGAGTCGAAGATAGGGATCTACAGTGGGATGATGAGGATGTCAATGCATTTCTAAATAGATTACTGAATAGGATACCGTAGTTGTATTGGAATAACAAAAGATGTCTTCTAAAAGTGTAGCATAATTTTATGTGGGCGATAAAATTCAAGGTAGCAGTTCTCAAGAACTCGTCCTCCATACAATTTAACAATTCGTAAACAAAACTCCCGACTGCAAATAATCTAAACGTTTTATAGATCCTAATTCGAATATCGCAACGGGAATCACGTCCAGAATTTACATTTGATTTTTCAATCATTTCACCCCAAGCAACAATAAAAAGATGGGACCTAGATGCCAATCTAGTAGCACACTTCATTTTATGTAATCGGAGCACCAGAGAAAGAAAAAAAACGTTTGAGAGCAGCTGCCATGAAAATATTTGTAGATATGCTTGCTGACGACGTGAATTTATGCAGCCATGCGCGCCATTTTTCTTTTGGACAGGCCAACACGTGATTTGCTGTTCTATTCTTTTCTGGATAGATTTTTCCTTCCACATGACGCCGGTTCGTTTTCGAGGACGTTCATTTATGCGTTCACTAGAAAAAGCTAATAAAATATTAAGAGCTAGGAAAAATTATATTAGAAACAAAGAAAAGAATTCCGAGTAAATGCTGGATAATTTCATCGAAGAGATATGGTCTGACAGATGAATGCTGAGAATCCCATGGACAAAACATGTGATAAAGTAGGAAGTTTTAATAAAAATAGGACATTAAATGACACTTAAACTTACAATCAGGCCAAATGAAGAATTTCACACTCACAGAACATATATATGACTTTACAATAAATCTCTAAAGATTTGACCGATTAATTGATTTGTTTTGTTTTTACCGCTTATCAGCATCTTTTAGTTTATTTAAAGCTGAAACATATTTTTGGATTCTAAGAATCTTTTGGAGATAATAATTATTTTTTGATACAAGTTCTACTATTTAACCCATAGCTGGGAGGAAAAGAACTAGATTTATACTTTCTCCAAGTGAATATAACGAACCTGACTGAAATTCGAACTCGTCTCTCCGATTTCTCATTCCGAGCCCGTTATCCATTACACCACTCACACATCCAAATCTACCGCACTTCTATTCCCAAGCGATAATCCTTCGAGATACTGACCAGGCCCAACTTCGGTGATCGACTGAAAACTGGTGTTTTAACGTGATATGGCTGTAAGCCTTCTGTTTCTGCTTTTACTTTGCAACTGAATGTCTTTTGAATTAAAAATTGTCAAGATAATTGAAAAACGTTTTAGTCAGTAGGAAAGACATCAAGGGATTACGGTGAAAGTCTCGCATCATTGAACTTCTACACTGTCGTCCTAGCCATATGTGGTCGGGAAATTTCATGAAGCAGAAACCACGACGATTAACCAGTGCATTTTTGCTTAACTGAATGTGCGTTTCACCCAGTTACTGGCATTAATTTTCGGCTTTGTTTTTTTTTTACTGAGATCCTATAGAACCCATTTATCGAGGTTCTTCATGTTGCCAATATTCTTGAGATGCCCCGATATTTCTTAAATCTTGACACCCATTATCTTAGACCGTCTTGGATATCATAAAAAAAAACTACATGAGCGTTTTAGGTAAGACGATAAAAGACATCCAACAGCAACGGTTCGGACCAGGATATTTTGAGGAGCGTGGAACCACCTCTTAATTACTAGTTTTTACCAGGTCCATCCTGACCTGGGGTGGTAGCACCTGTTAGGGTCCCACCTATGTGCAAATAGTTAACCCCCAAACTGGGGTCAAAACACTATGAAAGTGTAAAAATAGATTTCAATACCAGTAATACATTTTTGAAGGAAAAAATATTACCAGCAATACATTTTTGAAAAAAATATTAGCAGCAGTAAAAATCTTATCGACATTAAATAAACGATTGAGGTGTTGATATGACGTAAAACAAAACAAACGAACCATTATTATCTAAGGCATTTCGACTCATGTTTTCAGATACTAATTGTCTATTGCAAATGGATGTCCAATAAAACTTTGTACATCAAGAGAGGAATGTTGAATTTGGAATTTTAGAAACCAGCGCCTTACTCACTGATAACAAGTGAATTTTTCAACATATTTTCTGTTAATATTATCAGGAGATAGAAAATCATTATGATCAACATAAACCCATCTCTTTTTTTTTTCATGTACAGGTTGAGCGGTATATAATTTAGTTTTTAAGTTCAATTTTGAAAGTGATTAATATAAACTTAAAAGAGAGTGCTTAAGGGAAAGGAGACATTAATTGGATAGATAGATAGATAGATAGATAGATAGATAGATAGATATGAACATACTGAGATAGATAGATAGATAGATAGATAGATAGATAGATAGATAGATAGATAGACTGACAAATATGAACATACTGAGATAGATAGATAGATAGATAGATAGATAGATAGATAGATAATAAACTGACAAATATGAACATACTGAGATAGATAGATAGATAGATAGATAGATAGGGAGAAGAAAGAACATTATGGGAAATAACTTTTAATTTCCTCTTTACAGCTGAGGATATTATTGTTACTTTCCCACTTATTCGTTCGCCGGTATCTCAGTGGCCTCAGATACTTTGACGAAACCCACCTCCGCGAAACGACCAAATGAGATCATTCTTGGATACGTAGCCATAACAGGGATTCAACTTCAGTATCCAATCACGGTCTCTCTGAGCAGGGAGGAGTCAAGAAGGATGGTGCCGTATGATCAGGAAGGAGGGGCCTGAGCGAACAAAGACTGAAGGACAAAGAGGGCGTAAGTGCGACGGAAAGTCTGTAGATGGCAAGCGAATAGGCAACGTGAGGAAGAACAAAGAATGGATGGATTCAAAAAACGTCAAATGCCGAACAGAAGACGGAACACTGCCATGTGGCTGTGAAGGGAATGAATAAAGTGAAGATGAAAAAGAAAGAAAGAAAGAAAGAAAGAAAGAAAGAAAGAAAGAAAGAATGGTGAGCAAAATTAATCATTTGAAAAATGATAAAAAAAAAACAAACGTAAAATCGCACGCTGGGCACAAAAGAATGATCGCGGAAAAGCAAAAGAAAGAAAGAAAGAAAGAAAGAAAGAAAGAAATAAAGATGAAAGAAAGAAAGAAAGAAAGAAAGAAAGAAAGAAAGAAAGAAAGTGTGGCAGAAATGAAGGATTTGAAAGATGAAATGAAGGAGTAAAGTAAATTCATGAGATATAGGCAGAAAATAAGCGAGGTAAAGAAAGAAAGAAAGAATGAAAGAAGGAAGGAAGGAAAGAAAGAAAAAAAGAAAGAAAGAAAGAAAGAAAGAAATAGAGTGTGGCAGAAATGAAGGATTTGAAAGATGAAATGAAGGAGGAATGGAAATTCAAGGTCTATAGGCAGAAAAATAAGAGAGACAAAAAGAAAGAAAAAAAGAAAGAAAGAAAAAAGAAAGAAAGAAAAAAGGAAGAAAGCCATGGAGAGTGGCAGAAATAAAGGATTTGAAAGTATAAATGAAGGAGAAAAAGAAATTCAATGTAGTCAGAAAATATTAGATTATCTGAACAAAGAAGCTCGCCAATCTACGGCAATGCAGAACAGATTTCATTGAAGATTTCAAACATTAATTATAGATTATTATATTAGGTTATGTCATAAGTAAAAAAGCCGAACTCACTACCCAATTTGAACTGATCTCGTGAGACAAGCCTGCTAAGGATTACACAACGTCGACGTGTCTAAAAGGATTTTCTAATCGCAGGTTGATGCGGCACAAAACCGGAAGCGAGACAAGTTTGCTACCCATTAAACCCGGTCGTAGTGCTCCGTTGTATCATGTTATATGTTTACTAAAACTATAGAAAATCCTTCATTACCAAGTGAAACAAACGAGAAATGTAAAATCCAAAAGATTTCCAATCGAGGCTACGAGAATCGATGAATATTCCGACAAAATTAATAAAGAAAATATAGAAGTTACCTTTCTCTGAGGACGAGCCGAAATCCTCGGCGGCTGTAAAATGGTGAGACCGCTAGCAATCCAATCGACAGATTCTTCATCACACCTCAAATCGCTCACGTTAATAATGATAAATCGTCCAGATCCTTCAGGATTTTACCTCAGAGACATATCTGGTATTAATATCCGGTACTTGAGAATTGGAATAATTATGAGCCGTTCTTTAACAAGTTCCTCTGGACATGTTGCTGCCATACCAAGAGACGGACATTAAATTAGAAATGAAACAAGGAAAACTGAATCTCGAAGCAATGACTGCTACAAATTCGCTATTGTAGTGAGATTGCTTCTTACCGCGTGCTAATCTCCAGAGGCATGCTGAAAGATTAGGTTTCTTATAAAGTGAGAAAACTCACAGTGACTATTTGTAGCACAGATCATACTTACGAATATCATTTCTATAATCACCCGTTCCTTCATGAGCTAAATTAAGTTTTTGTTTTGTTTTGTTTTTTGTTTTTTGTTTTTTTTGTTTTTTGCAACGCAAACCTTTGTCTCATTTAATGCCGAAATTTAATGTTCTCTCCTTTATAAAACTTGACATTTTTCTTTAAACAGCACGTCTGCTGTCAGTTTTGGTTGTATTTTATTTTTAATTATATTTTTTTCGATCATTTTAATTTCTCTTAGAAACTGGAATATATAAAATGGATCAGTATTTTGAAAAATTTCATTTAAGTTTCTTGTTTGGCAGTATTTTAAGCGAATTGAATAAAAATTTCTGCAATTCATCAATTTATGTTTTATGGTGAATAGCTCTTGGCCTGTCACACATACCGGAGGATTTTCTTTTTTAGGATTTTTAGCGTTATGGTAGTATGTCCAATATGGACCTTGGACATAACCACTTCACGTTTGCTATAAAACGCATTGCTGGTAATTGATTTTAAATAAAAATGTTTTGCTGGTAATTGTACTAAAAAATTCATTCTATACCTTCACGCTGATTCGCTTTATTTTAAGTATTCAATATTGACCCATAGCTGGGACCCCGACAGGTGCTACCACCCTGTATGAAGGTGAACCTGGGAACAATGGCAGTTAAAATGTAATTCCATGCTCCTCAAATGCCCCAGTCATCCGATTTTGCTGCTGGATGTAGGTTATCGTCATACCGAGAACTTTCCAAACCATTTGATACAGGAAGATTGGCGCAATGCAATCATCTTCTATTTGTGGTTCTAACTTGAATTGTTTTTGTGAGTTAACAGCCTTTATTTTAATATTAACCTTTCTATAAATAAATATATTTCTATTTACCATTTTGTTATGAGCTTATATCTGTATCTGCTTATGTTTGGTTTTCTTTGTGTTACAGCATATCAATAATTTTATAGTCAATTGCTCTTAGAATGCCACACATACAAGACGATTTTCACTTTTAAGGACATACGAATGGGTTAATTAAAATAAGTTACATCTATACGAAAATTCATTCAATATGAGTCTCTAAAGCAAGTCAACCTATAGAATTACTGTGAAAATAATGATGAATACGGATTCCAATATGAATGAAAGTCAGTGTGTTAAGAAGTGACGATTACGAGTTTAGAGAAGGTAGATAGCGGTTGATGGTTGATTTTAATATGTTGATAGAAAGACGGTGGAAAACGATTGGTATTGAAAGAGAGTAAATAACAATTGACCGTTCATTTAAATATGTTTATTGAAAAAGTGTAGAGAACGTTTGACCATCGATTTGAATATGTTGATTGAAAGAGTACAAAACGACTGACCGTTGATTAGAATATGTTGATTGAAAGACAATAAATAACGATTGACCGTTGACTTGAATATGTTGATTGAAAGAGGGTAGGAATCGAGTGATTCTTGATTTGAAGAGGGTAGATTGACTGTTGATTTGAACATCTTTAATACAAGAGGGAATATAACGACTGTTCACTGATTTGAATTTGTTGATTTAAAGAGGGTTGATAACGATTGACATTTGATTTGAATTTGTTGATTTGAAGAGGGTAGATAACGATTGACATTTGATTTTGATATGTTATGTTTGTAGTGTTCAGGGAAAGGAATGTGTCTCTTCCACTGAGTAGCAGTTTTTGATAATAAAATCTGAGTTAAACTTCTTCCTTACATTTGGTATACATGGGAAATGAAGGTGAATCGACTCTGTGAAAATTGGATCACGTGTCGTAGTTATAAATATCTGAACCAGTGGGACAATAAAATGGAACTTGTTGGAATTCTTACAATGAAAAAAGCAATGAAAGCTGTCAAACGTGAACGGAGTAGCTCCAGATATTTATACTGACTCTTGTAAATATAAAGCATGAAAGAATGTTTGAAGATACTTGCTGATGGAATAACAAAGTACAGCCAATTTTCTGGCATCTTTAGCATCGATAAAAGTTAGTGGTTGTCAGATTATGAAAAAGAAAATAGATAACAACTGACCGTTAAATTGAAGAGCTTAGATTGAAGTGTCCAGGGAAGCAGCCCCGCGGAAGTTTGTTACACAAGTTTCTTGGGGAAAAAAACTATCAGCGGTCAACTTTTCTTTTGCATATTTTTTGAGGTTCACCCTGTACCAGGCCCGGGTGCCATTCGAGGTAGAGGTTTACAGAGTAAGCCGTAGAGTTCGTGCTGATATATGCGAAGGAGGATGATTAATCCTAGGTTTTACCAGGTTGAGATTGTAGTGAAGGTGGGAACATCCTCTTGGGAATCGGTTCCACAAGTCAGCGGTTAATGGGAAGAAACTGCTTGAGTAGAAATTACATCTTACGAGGGCAGATACGAAAAGAATGAAAGTTGTTCGCTATAATGTACGTAGCATGGCCGGTTTTAGCCATGAATCTTATGACTAGTGGAACCAAGGAATGGACTTCATCTGGACGCTCATCATGTAAATAGCGAAAGAGCAGTGTGACTCTTGTGACATCTCTTCTGTGAAAAAGTGGTTTTCAGAATGGAAAATGACTCGTCACCTAGTCACCTACAAGGACACGGAGAAGCTTTTGGACTATATCGAGAGTGTAAAGTGAAGACTGGGCGGCTCCTACCCATATAGTGCAGCAGTACAGACTTTTTCGGCCTTATCTGTCTCTTGTAAAGGTAGAGGGAAGCAGGAGGAATCAGGTACTTGCTAAAGCCGTACAGCAAACCGACCATTTTCACACCATCTTTAGCGATTGATCGTATGTACGAGTTCCACTTGAGAAGTCGCAATAGGTGCTCAAGGTACGGGAACTTTTTGAGGGAATATCCGTTCCCATAAAAATACACGGAGAACTCTATGATTCCCTCGATCTATTTTGCCATCCATTTGCACGAATACGTTCTCTGTTCATTTTTCTTTCTATATACAGGATGCGATAGGTAAATTGTCGATTTTTCTTTTTTCCTTCAGCGCATGAACGTTGTTTGTTTTGGATTTTGTCGATTGCACTGCAAGGTCAGTTGGGCACCGTCAATGAGAAAAAGAGCCCCATGACGCAATTCAGTTCGCAAGAAACTTGGAAACGGCATGCTTGGAATTCGCACCAGTAGCTCCAATACGAACATTTCAGAGTGTTTAGGTGTCAATCTGATGACAGTTCAGAGGATTCGTTGGATGAGTCTAACGATAATTACGAAGGTGTTTTGTGTGATCTTTAGTGATGGCCACGTTATACCTCCAGTCATCTTCCCATGGTGCCTCAGACCCAACGTGTAGGCCAACAACAAGTGCCTTGAGGAGGTAGTGTTGCCCTGGATCAAGAGGGTGACTGCTGGAAGACCCTATGTCTGGAAACCGGACTCTACACCATGCACCAAGCAGAAGTACCCAGTCATGTCTGTAACACAATTTCTGTGACCTCCAATCGCCTTACATCTGGCCACCTAAATCTCCAGTCAGTAACTTCCATGATTAATATCTGTGGTCGCAGTTGGGGGAGAGACCAAAAAATTTCTTTTAACACCAAAGTTGAACTGAAAGCAAGGATTATGGCAGCATTCACCGACCTAATCACAGAGACACTCCAGAAGAGATGCAAAAGATTCCGAAATTTTCAGGATGATGTGGTTGAAGCCAAGAGCAATTTTATTGAATAAATTAACTCTTTAGTATTTCAAGATATTTTTGTGAAGTTTCGGTAGATATATCTGTTAAAATGAGATGTCAGTGTTATTTTCATTTAGACAATTTATTTATTGCACCCTGTATATCTTGTTTTCAATGTGTTTAAAACTTCAACGTTGCTCACATATTCTCTTCATGGCATTCTCCCCACTCCGTCCTTAGAATCATGTCTTTGATGCTTCAAATCTCTTCCTCTGTGAGGAGATTACCCAGGAATTATTATTCTTAGAATTAAAAAGAAATTTCTTTCTTTCTCTTCTTTCTTTTTGGAGGATGCTCATACTGATAAATGGAGTTGATTTTTTTTTTTTGTATTTGCTTTTAGATTTTTATTTTCTCCTTCCCCCCCTACAAAAAAAAGTATAAATTAAA